GGAAGACTGTAGAAGAATTGATGCTTTTGAGTTTTGGGCTTAGAGGAGAATATTGAAAGTGCCATGGGCTCCCAAAAGAACAAACAGACCTGTGTTGGAAGAAGTGCAACCTGAGTACTCCTGGGAGGCCAGGATGGCCAACTTTGTCTCTCATACTTCAGACACATTGTCAGGAGGGACCAGTCACTGGAGAAGGATATCATGTTTGGTAAGGTGGAGGGTCAGAGAAAAAGAGGAAGACACCCAGCATGATGGATTGGCAAAGTGGCAGCATCAATGGGCTCAAGTGTGGCAACAATTGTGAGGTTGTCCCAGGACTGGGCTGTGTTTCATTCTGTTGTGCATAGGGTCGTGATGAGTCAATACAGACTCAATGGCACCTAACAACAACAACACCTCTCCCAAAGGATCTTTGGTGGTACACCGAGTTAAGCATTATTTGCTAACTGCAAGGTTGGTGGTCCAAATCCACCAACCAATCCACAGGATAAAGATGAGACTGTGTGTCCCCTTAAAGAATTATAATCTTGGAAATCAAATAAAAGGTCACTATGATTTGGAATTGTCTCGATGGCAGTGGATTTAGCTTGGTTTGGTTTTACCCTCTCAAGGAGTTCTAGTGGAACAACAGTTAAGCACTTGTCTGCTAACAGCAAAATCAGTGTTTCAAACCCACTTAGTGACTCTGTATGAGACAGATCTAGTGATATGCTCCTATAAAGATTATAACCTAGAAAAGCCTATGGGGTAGTGCTACTTAGTCACATGGAATCACTCTGAGTCTAAGTCAACTCGCTGGCACCTAACAACATCAACTACCTCTCCCACTTCTGAATTTGGCCTGGTCACTGGAATAGCTAGTACCATCATTGTTTTGCAGAAAGAAATATTCTGGGAAGGAATCAAAAACCTGTTTAGAGAAATGCTGATATCACAATAAGTCAAGTTTAAAATAGGGTCTTAGTGCAATAGAAAGCAGGCCTTTCGTTTTGAAGGCACTCATATTTTTGTAAGTAAAAATATGTAACATGCAGTTGAATCTGCAATTTGTTACACAAGATTTGAATGTTGAATTTTTGTCCTCATTACTTAGGTTTCAAACATTCCCTCTAGACCTTACATTCATAGTAATAAAAAAGATGCTAAATCCATCTTGGATACTATATTTTACTTCACACTTATAGTGAAATAAAGAATCTTTTGGTAACTTTTTAACAACATTCATCCACCCACATTTACACAATGGGAAGAATCAATGTTCAAAATGATTGCACTTTCTGAACTGAAATTTAGATCTTTTCAAAAGAAATTCCCAGTGTTGTTCTCACATGCCATTCTGGTACAGAGTTACCAAACTACCAACTCCACTCTGCCTTTCAGCATTGACTCCTGAACTTAATTAAAGCCTAGTCCTTTAGCTGTTATGTGGAAATTGATCCCAGGAGATCCCTGTTTCATAAAACAGCCCATCTATTTGATTTTCTATGTCTAATTCTTAAAGTATCTCAAAAGAAAACAAGTCATCAGTTTGTTAATAAGCCAGTGGTTTTGTTGACTGGGACCTCCTAAACAGTGTGTCTTTCAGTCTGAGTTTTTAAGAGTCCATTTTGGGATAATGTAGTTGCTTCTCTATCATAGTCATAATCAATTATTATCCCATAGTTAATCTTCTTTTTTCTTTTTAATCACATCTTTTAATTAATGCCTAATCCCTACTCAAAGGATTATCTCAGGAAGGGAGAAAAACAGCTACACATTTCTTGTGAAGGCCACTAATAACACTGCTTGGAAAAAGTTAATGGTGTCTGTTAGAGACAATGTGTCTGGAAGAGTCTGCTCCACTTGAGGTAAACAAAGCAACCAAGAAGTTTCTGAAATTCCTCTGGCTCCTACTCTACACCCAAGTTCCCTAGAAATTCTCCTCCTTTTCCGTCAGGGAACAGATCTGCTCCAATATCCTCCTACATATTGATATTCAATAAACACTTTGTTTTTTGCTCTGAGTCCTGTCACTAAATATTAGGTATATCAGCAGCAGGTGATAAAGAACCATTTTCCACTATAGTTTACATTAAAAAATAGGCAGAGTCTAAAAATACCTGAAGCAAAAAATGTTAATATTTGTTAAATCTGGCTAGTAAACAGAGATGACTACATAGGTCTCTGCAGTTTTCTACTATTTTGCAAAACTTTTAAAAATAAAAACAATCAAAAGCAGAGGTTCCCAAATAGTGTATACAGTATTATATGTTTTTGGTACCTTGTACTTCTCACAGTACAAGACTCATAAAACATTTTTACAATCTTTGTTTCTTTCTGTCTTCCCTGGTAGATTGCAAGTTCTTTTAGAACAGGTACCTTGTCTTTCTTATTCTCTCAAGTGCGTAAAATAAAGCGTGGCACTTAAGAAGCTCTTAATAAATATTTGTAAAATATTTTTATTAAATAGTAGAAATAATATTAGAAGGATATACAAGCATCCGAATGGTAGCAGCCCTTCTCTCTAAATTGTGCCTGGCAGGTAGAATCATAAGTAACTTTGTTTTCTTTATTATGATGTTCAAAAATTTTAGGGGGACTTCATCAGCACAAATTAGTTGTTGACTATTTAAAACCAGTCTAGAGTTTCTTATTTTTTACCTATATCATCCAGGTGAATTTTCAGTTGTTCTGATTCCTCCATGCCTAGTACATTTGCAGCTTGAACCCAAACCACATACTTCTTGGCACCTTGTAATGCATCAGTGGAGATGTTAATGGAACTGAATGTGAGATATTGTTGCTCTTCTTCTGTCTCTAAACTAAAAAAAAAAAAAAAAAAAAGGATAAGGATCACAAGTTTTGTCTGGTTTAAATTAATTATTTGACTTTTTCATACTACCTTGTTTAGCCTGCTTTGGACATGCAATCCATTTCTAAAGAGGAATTGAAATTAATATCATTTTGAAAAAAAATTAAATTTAAGATTAGCCATGGCTAACATAAGATTTTATAGACCTTAAGCACTTTTGCCTTCATGAGTTTCCACTTTGTTATTGTTGTTTTTGTTAAGTGCCATCAAGTCAGTGCCAACTCGTAGCAACCCTGTATAAGGTCTCCAAGGAGTGATGGGTGAGTTTGAACTGCTGACCGTGCAGTCCAGTGCTTATCTTATAGTGCCACCCCAGAACTCCATAGTCTCCCCTTTAGCAAACACAATATCCCTCTTTAGTGATTGATCTTTCCTGACAGTGTGTCCAAAGTTAAGAAAGACAAGTCTCACTATCATTGCTTCTAAGTTATTCAACCTTGTTGTATGTATTATAAGACTAATTGTTCTTTCTTCTGACAGTCCACAGTATATTCAGTATTCTTCACCAACACTCCAGTGGTGTGGGCCTTATATTTTCTGCTTATTATGTTACTTACAGAGCTCTAGCAGCATAAATTACGAATAGTTAGTACACTGCCAACTTCAAGGTCAGCAGTTCAAAACTACTCTCCATGGGAGAAAGATAACACTTTCTGCTCCCATAAAAGATTTACAGAGTCAGAAACCCTACACAGGGTAACTCTGAATTAGAACCAACTCCATGGCACCAACACGAACCAGAGATCCCTAAGTTAATTGAGTTGCACTGTGAAGCCTAACTTGATATGGATATGCTAATTAAGAAGGAAAACCACCTTGCAATCTGAATTATGGTGCAAAGCTAAGCACCTTACATTATTTTTAATGAATGGAAGTGCTTGACAGATTTGCCTGTCATCTCTGATCAAGGATCATGTCCGTCTTCTTTGTACTATTCCAATTACAGTGCTCATGCTGCTCAGGCAAGCAGTGACCTGATTGTTTTATCCAATACCATCAAGTGCACTCTCTCTCAGAGGACTGCCTTCCTGGGAAAGAAAGAGTTTCCATTAGCATTGGCATTCCTTGCATGTTCATTCAGTAACTCCTGAATATCTTCAATCCCATAGTATACCAGCTAGGGTTTTATGTCCTGGTGTGGCACTGCAGGATAAGCACTGGACTGCTAACCACAAGGTTGGTGGTACAAACCTACCAGCCACCCTTCAGAAATCCTATACAGGGTGGCTATGAGTCAGGACTGACTGGATAGTTCTTAGCAACAGCAACAAGGATTATCAGTTGCCAGCAAGTAAGATTTTTTTGGAATCCAGATATTCCTGGAGGATTTCCAGATCAAAAAAAGGAATCAACCTTCCAGTTATCACACAATAAATTTATGTATGAATCAGTGTGGTGATGTAGGATCACAACTAGACTTAGAACCACAAGGTCAGCAGTTCAAACCCTCCAGCTTCTCCTTGGACATCCTATCCCAGGTCTCCATGAGTCAAAACCAACTCAACAACCCTTAACAACAACAAAGACACACTATAGAAAGATGTCTTCTAGGATTTTTTGTTTTTATTAATGCTGTTTTTCATTTATTGCCACTACGAGCATAGGACAACTTCAGCCAGTGAACAAGGAATCTCTAAGACTAATGAGGAAGTTGTAACGGGGATTCCATAGTGTTCAGACAGTAACAGCTACTTCAGTCCACTCTCAGGTTTTAAGCTCCAGTGGTGACCCAAACAGTTAAATGTGCTGAGCTGCTAATTAAAAGGTAGGAAATTTGAGTCTACCTAGAGGTGCCTTGAAAGAAAGTCCTGGCAATCTAACAACAACAACAACAACAACAAATCAGCCATTGAAAATCCTATGGAGCACAAGTCTACTCTGACACACATGAGCTCACCGTAAGTTGGAATGGGCTCAACAGCATTTAGCTTACTTGCATATTTCCTAGCACAACAGTTTCATTCTATTACGAATACAAATAAGGTTGTTGTAAACTGGAGCTGACAAAACAGCAACTATAAACAACAAATCTCTGTCCTCACACCAGCTGTGAGATTGTTATGAATACAATGAGAAGACCAGGAGGAGAGGCAGCAGATTGTGGTGATTAAAAACATGTTGTTGTTAGTTGTTGTGAAATCTGAAAGTGAGCTTTCAGAAGCACATCATCATGCTTGTCTTCCAAGGTGCCTCTGGGTGGGTTTGAACCACCAACCTTTTGGCTAGCAGTTGAGTACTTAACTGTTTGCACTACCCAGGGGCTCCAAGACTGAAGGCATAGGGCTTGGGTTTCAGAGACAGACTTAGGTTCACATCCTTATTCTGACCCTTGATGAATGTGGGGCAAGTTATTTAACCTCTATATGCTTCAGGGTCCTCATCTGTGAAATAGAAATCATAACAGCATTGTTGTTATCACAAGTAATAGAAATAAAAAATCATGCAGTAGTTGGCTTCATGGATAATAAAGGGCTCATTCAATGCTGTTGTTGTTGTTAGGTGCCATTGAGTTGACACTGACTCATAGAGACCCTATGCACAACAGAACAAAACACTGCCTGATCCTGGACCAACCTCACAATCGTTGCTATGCCTGAACCCATTGCTGCTGCCACTGTGCCAATCCATCTCATTGAGTGTCTTCCTCTTTTTCTCTGACCCTCCACTTTACCAAACATGAAATCCTTCTCCTATGACTGGTCCCTCCTGACAATGTGTC